GGAGAGTGCGGACCCCGGGTGGGGAGAGGTCGGAGGTCTCCGGATCTAACGGAGGTGTAGACTGGAGCACCGACTCCTTCGCTTGAACAAGCAGTTCCTGGACATACGTCAAGCCTTTATAGGAGCGTCTGCCGCAGAGCGAGCGCTCTCACCATTAATTACTCAAGGTCAAGCGTGGTGCCTTCTGGAAATAAGAAATGAACTGTGCCCTCAAGCAGCTGTCAATCTAATGCCGAAAAGAAATGTGTAAATAATAGTCCTCAGTACCCTCAGCGTTATTTAAAACTGTGTGGGCATGGGGTTTGAGAAAGTCGCCTGGAGGGGAAGGCGAGAGAGAGAAAAAGAGAGAGAGAGAAGCCCAAGTTAAGCAAATAACTAAATGTGGGGAAAATGTTCTCTATCTTTAAATAATACGATGCCTTCAATAAGACAAAGTTGTGGGGGGGTTTTCTCCATTGCAATGTGCACTCTGGAACTTTGCCTTTATCACATTCCTGTCTGTATCCATACCAGCCACATCCTTTGTGAATTTTAACTAAAGTGCCTCTGTCTCCAGAAGCATTAGCGTGAGATCCTGGCAGTGAGAATCTCAGACAGACCGTCAGGTGACGCTCAAGTAAACTTTGAGTGACAGTACAGACAGAAGCCTTCCCTTCCTAGAACATAAAGAGAGCAGCCGGGTGCAAGAGAGGCTCTGCAAAGGATTAGGTTACTGTCCTAGATGAACTCACCCTTTAACTAGGAGTCTAGACAAACAAGGTAAACTTCCCTGGTTCTATAAAAATCAGAGAAAAGAATCACAAAAGAATAGTTGCTGCTATTGGTGAGTACCCAGGAGCTGAGGGGAATGAGGTGATGCAAAAATCAATGGCATTTTCCCAGCCAAAGCAGGGAGCAGGTAAGCTGTGACAGAGGGAACAGGATTAAAGCAGAGGGTTGGACTTGCCCAGAATTAGGAAGGCAGGATCATCCTCGTTTTAGGATGACTGGCTGATCTGTTTGATTAGAACAGAGAAAATGAAAGGTAGTTACATAGAGTGGACGATTGTGAACTGATCAGGAAGTGAGCATTTTTTCAAGCACCACATATGTTGGTTTATAATTTCGGGAAGATAATTTTTTCTCTAGGATGGTCAGAAGGATTGAGGCAGAAGTTTACAACACTGTTGCCATGGTCCAAGTGATAGATGGCCAGAACTAAACCAAGGTATTGAGTGTGACAGTGGATGGCAAGGAATGGTTGTATCTTGAGACCGGGCGAGCTTTCTTTCCTGTAAATGTTCAGTCGGAGGCTACAAAGGATGTGAGTCTAATTAAGGTGGGGCACTGGGGGAATATTCACAGCTCCTGCTGAGGCCCTGGAGCTGCTCTGGGTCTAAACGAGCTTGCTTTCTGACCCTGACGGCAATCTCAATCCCTCACCTCCTACAAGTTCCAATCATTTGTTTTTCTTTCCCCCCTGGGCTTAGCTGAGATTCCTATTACCTTATTACCTAGTGGTCTCCTTATAATATACTTCCTATTATTTGAGGTAACTCAAGTAAGCGTAGGTTCTTAAAACCAAAAATAGGTGGAATAAAACACATAGGAAAGTGCTTAAGATTGTAAAGGCAGAAAATCAGAATACCAAGTTTTGCCTACGTTTGATCATCCATAGTTAATGTAATTTTTAAAACAATGTATTGAATAAAAGTCTAAAAGGCAATACCTGAATCATTAACTCAGGTCATTTCTGGTTGGTAAGGTTATGGTTATTTTTTAATCTTCCTACTACTTTAAAATGTTTCTCCTGATTATGGTTCATATGTTCCTGCTTCCTTACATGCCTGGTAAGTTTATGCCATGCCAGGCGTTCTATGTTACACTGTTGGGTGCTGGAGGCTTTTTTACTCCTTTAAATACTTTGCTCTGGGATCCAATTAAGTCCCTTGGGAACAATAGATCTTTTCGAGAGTTTCTTTTAAGCTTTGTTAGGTGAGTCCCCAACAGTCTCTTAGTTTAGGTATAATCTGCCCCCACTACTGAGGCAGCCCTCGTCTGGGGATTTGATTTGATGCTCCATGTGTTCGGAGTTCTTTCTGCTCAGGGGACACAGTTATTCTTGGCCCTGCATGTAAGCTTGGGGATCTTCCTTTCTCTCAGTGGTTCTTTCCCAGCAGTTTCTGTACATGTGTCCCTTGCTCAGCAATCCCTGGAAAACCGGAGGGGACCCTCTGCAAGTATGTGGAGGACTCCCTCCCTATGGTTCTCTTCTCCCTGACTCACAGCCCTACAGGTCCTAGCTACCTTGATTTTTGTCTCCTCAGTCCATGGAGACCTCTGGGTTCTGTTCAGAATCCTCCTCCCAGTGCTGCCACCTGGAAACCCTCTCCAGGAAGGAAAGGAGAGTAAGAGTTCATCTCATTTACATCCCATCTCTCAGGGGTCACAGCTCTTCACTGCCTACTACTAAATGTCTGACCGTCAATGTTTTGTATATTTTGTCCAGTTTCATAGTTGTTTAAGATGGATGGGTAAATCCAATTCATTATTCCATCATGGCCAGAAGCAGATGTTCCTAATACTTTCTGAATGTTTCCAGTTTTCTACAACTTGTGTACCAGCTGTGTATACCTACAAAAGTCAAGTCTTTAAAAAGTAAAATTGTCCTATACAGTAACTCTCAAGTTAGAAACATGAAAGTTTTAAGCCAACAAACCAGATTTCACCTTCAAATCAATTTTTCACTAGTGAAGACAGATAAACCTGAAATGACATAAAGTAGAAAATTAAACAAAGAAACAAACAAACAAAACCCCACCAGCACCACCACCAAAAACAACCATAAATATTTCAAAGAGCATTTTGAATTTTGGTAGAACCATTTATAATGTGGTGGTTGGGAGAGGGGAGCCTGGAAGCAGACAGAAGGGAAGGGAAAGCTTTGCTTTCTCATTTATTTAAAGCTAATTCTGCCATGGCTGTTTGCTGTTGGCCTCTGTTCCACCCTTCCCCATCAACCTTTGCAGATATTTCTCTAATTTGCCTGAGGAAAACAGTCATGACCCTTGGAGTCTGCTTTTGTCGGTTCTCAGGGGAACTGTGTCTATCATAAACTCCCCAAACGTGCCAATGTAGTTGCTGTTACCCAAAGAATGGAAGACTCATCACTCAGCATTCCCTGCGGAAGCCTTTGTCAGGCCCCAGGAGGGGAACACACACTGAGAAGGGCCTGCCCACTCTGAGATGAAATATGCTGGAAATGGATGCCTGATCAGATGCTTTGCTCAGATTTATCTACCCAGTCCCTGGGGGGAAAGTATCCGAATTTGCTAGGTTGTTTCCTCTGCAATCTGCTTTAAACTTGACCCGGTTTCTGCTGCTTATGTCTCTGAGTCAGGAGAACTTTCAGTGATACTCTTTTTTCAAGTTGACATACCCCGTTAATACTACTTAGGACTCTTCTCTTCTAGGCCTCTTTAATATTTTTTCTTGTCCTTGCTTTTTATATTATAGAAGCTTCAATGGGAAGACAAAACCTAGCCAAGAGCAGTATGAAGTGAGGCTCTCTGTTGACCCCAGTCCAGAAATGCCTTCTGGCTTCCCTGCAGCAGGCCTGGCCTGAGATTCCTCCTGTTTACACTGCCTATCCAGAAGGTATGACTTCAAGCTTCAGCTTTCACAAAATCTGTCAAGCTCTACAATGGAAAATCACGTCTAGAGATCTAATACACAGAATGACATCAAAGGGAAAAAAAAAGTGATTTCTACTCTGCCTTAAAATGTTTTTCTTTAGTCTTAGACTATTAGCCTCTTTAGGTTTTGAGCAAGGTGGTGAAACTTTAGTTGCTTCTATCTTGAGATGTTTTGGGGGCAGCAGGTGGTAAAGGGGAGGGTAGAGGAAGATGGGGACAGGGAGGTGACTGCAAAGGGAACGGACAAAAACAGGGTGCAAGTCGGGGTGACGAAAG